CAGCCCTCCCTCCATATGTAGACCTCAGGGGCAGGTTTCTCGTAACATCAAACACAAGCAGTGGGATTTTAAAATCAGTTAGCGGGAAAAACCACAATAAGTTATGACAAAAGCATTTGCTTAAATCATACTGCAGAACAACAAAGTTGCGGTGTATTGATTTTTTTTTTAAAAAATCATTTTTATTTGATTTTACAAATATGAAATTATAACAATCCAATCACAATTACAATCCATATGTAGAGATTACTCTGAATCTCGTGACTTCCCCCCACGCCCTCCATGGGGTCCTATTCTAAACATTCTAAACATTTACAACTGCATATTCTTCCGTCTCAATCCATATTGTCCATAGTATTGGTTACCTTTTAATGTATTTTTAATCTTTGTTGGAAGCTGCCCAGAGTGGCTGGGGAAGCCAAGCCAGATGGGCAGGGTACAAATAATAATAATAATAATAATAATAATAATAATAATAATTGTAATTATTATTATTATTACCTTACAAGTGGAATTAAAATCCTGCTAATGCTTCCATCTGCTTACAGTGGTTTCCTAGATAACTTACGAATTTCCCCCCTTCTTTCGTAAAGTGTTTGTTATGTACTGAAGTTCTCACCCTGGGCCAGCAGGGGGATACTGTAGATAGTTTTCACTCAGGTCCACGTCAGTTATTTTAGGCGGGAAACCCTGGGTTGTTGTTGCTACAATGTTGACAGCCGCTGCCTATAAAATCAGGCTGGCTGAACTGTTTGCTGTTGAGTTCTGTCCAGCTTACAATAAAGAGCTGCTCTGGAGAAATCACTGTGTCGTCTGCTATGTCCGCCCACAACTTAACACTCTTGGTTCTTGAGTTTTCCAGTCAGCTTTGCCATTTTGGCAAACTTAGCTGGCCATTCCTCTCTGTTAGGGACTTTGTCTTCTTTCCATATCTGGGGCTAGTGTTTATGAGGTAAAAGCTGCAGGATACCAAGTGTCCAAACAGGAGTTGCTCTGGAAAAAGGATGCTTCCAAATCGCTTTCCTCCACAAGAGCTCAAATGCTAAATCAGGGACAGGGGACCGGATTTTGCTGGGCTACAGACACAATCGTCCCTGGCCATCGTTATTCTGGACTGAATGTTGACTTCCATCTGTCTCAGGAGACTATTGAAGGGTGTGCCTTTGTGAGTGAAGTCAAGCTCTTGGACAGTTGCATTGCCTGCTGTGGCTGTAAGGACTGATGTGGGAGAGACATGTTTTGTGGCAGCTGGGTTAGATGAAGGCGTCCAGTTGTGCTGCTGCAGATGCACCGTGGCGTTTCTTCTCTCTGTGCTCCTCCCAGCGGTCATTCCTCCTCTGGCCGCTGCTGTGGATGCACAACCTGACTGTCTGTCTCCAGGCACTGCAGTCATCTGCAAGGGATTCCCAGATGGCGGGGTTGATGTTGCCAGCCTTCATGCCCCATTTGCAGACGTCTTTGTAACACAGAGTTGGTCTCCCAATGGGCGTGGTGCTTGAAGCCAGCTCTTCATACAGCACATCCTTGGGGATCCTGCCATCTTCCATTCTGTGGGCATGACCAAGCCAGCGTAGACATTGGTTGCTGAGACAGGAGTCTGAACATGCTGGGAATGTGAGCTTGGGAGAGGACATCTTTGTTTGAAACTCTGTTCCTGACACAGCATATCTGGAAGGCATTGAGGCATCGCTCGTAGCAGTTGCCTTCTTCTTCTTCTTTGGCAATCACTCGTAGCCGAATAAAATTGTCTTCCATGAACATGGTTTTAACAATGAGTCTGACTGTGGAGGCCAGTTCTGGATCCACACGTCCTTCCAAAGTGGGGACATTGGTTTCCGAGTGGGAGTTGATCATGGTGTGGATTTGCCAAGCATGCCTTCCTCTTAGCACATTTCTCCCTTGCGTCCTGAGTTTGAGTGTCTTCAAAGCCCATGACACTTTTGGTAAAGGCTATTCTCCAACTGGAGCGCTCGCAGGTCAGAGTTTCCCAGTTGTCAGTGTTCATACTACATTTTTTAAAAATTTGCCTTGAGACAGTCTTTAAACCTCGTTTGTTGACCACCAGCATTACACTTTCCATTTTTAAGTTCGGAATAGAGTAGTTGCTTTGGAAGACGATCATCAGGCATCTGCACAACATGACCAGTCCATCGAAGTTGATGCTGAAGAATCATTGCTTCAACACTGGTGATCTTTGCTTCTTCTAGTACACTGACATTGGTTTGCCTGTCTTCCCAAGTGATGTGTAAAAATTTTCAGAGACACCGTTGATGGAATCTTTTGAGGAGTGTGAGATGGCGTTTATAAGTGGTCCATGTTTCACAAGCATACAGTAAGGTTGTTAGTACAATAGCTTTGTAAACAAGCATTTTGGTTTCCCTGCGAACGTGCTGGTCCTCAAACACTCTGCACTTCAATCGGGAGAAAGACGCACTCGCACCATGCTCAAGACACTAGCCTGGTAGACCTTCACCTTGGTATCGGACCTTAGCTTCACAGGGGCCTGGTACCTGAAGCCAGCACATCCTTGGGGATTCTGCTGAGGAGATTTCACCCCTCCCATATCCAAGAATCTGCTGATGTTCTCTGCTGATTCTCCAGAGAGGAGGGGGCGATTTCTGCTCTCTACTTATTTCGCTCCAGCCTCACATCAAAGAGAGAGAGAGACTGAGTGTTAGAGAGAGATCGTGTGTATAGATAAGGTTGCTGCTAAGAGCAGCTGCAGACACTCAGTGCAGTTCAGCATTTTCGCTTAGACCTCATTTAGCTCTGTACATAGTTGTGTATTATAGTTGTAGATAGAATAAAAGAAGATATTCTACAGAGCTGCTCTCTGAGTCGTTTATGCTCTGCTATACTCTGCTGTACTCTGCTGTGCGACGACTGTCTTCTTGTTGGAGTGAATTCGGTGCTCACTAAGCTGTGAGTCCACAGCACTTTGACCTGTTCCTGTTCAGAAGGTGGTCTCTGGAAGTGCTACCCAGCTCGCCTAGCCCAGTCGGGGCTGAAGTGTATGAGTCCAGTTGGTGGCACTGGCTCAAGGGCGATGCTGACATCTGCCATCTTCCATTTTGTGGCCATGACCACATACAACATTTATAAAAAAAAGCATTAGATTAGGGAAAGTACACTTTGCCAAATTGCATGGAAAACCGTGTGTATTAGGAGAAATTCACACTAAAATGCTGGTAGGTTTTTATGAGGACATTTTTTTAAAGTGCAAATTGGTGCGGAAATGGGAAGAGCTGGTTTGAAAAAAAGGGAAACCTTAATTGACACACAAACACAAACGTATAGTAAGCCATCTCTGCTGAGTGGGGCCTGGGACTTCTGCCCCAGAGTCCTGCCCTGAGAGCACAGCTGATTCAAATATGCTGATGGCCACAGCCTTAAGTCATACAGTCTGGGGGGTGGGATGTCATCACCTTCTCCTGCTCAACTGGCTCTTGCTGTTTTCCACAGCAGGGGTCAGACAGCCACTCGCCCGCAGGTCAGATCGTCAGGGAGCCCTGCAGACGCTTTGCTCTCTCTTGGGAAGCATTCGGCTCGATGCTCTCGATTGAATTATTCAGAACCTTTGGCCCAGGGTGTCCATTTTAGCTGCGCCTCTGTTTATCTGCTTGGGGTTTAATGTCTCTCTCTCCCCCCCCTCCATATTAGTGCTTTCTGAGCTTCTCGTGGCTGTGATCAAAACAGCTGGAATAATAAAAATTCAAAATGTGTTGGGTTTCTTTTCTTCTTTATTACTGTAACTCACTCTACGTGGGGCTGCCCTTGAGACTGACCCAGAAACTCCAGCGGGTGCAGAATGCTTCTTGTCCCCCACAACAAACACTCTGTGAGGTGAGTGAGGCTGAGAGACTTCAGAGAAGTGTGACTAGCCCAAGGTCACCCAGCAGCTGCATGTGGAGGAGCGGGGAAGCGAACCAGGTTCACCAGATTACAAGTCCACCGCTCTTAATCACTATACCACACTGGCCCTCAGGAGGCTGAGGGAACACTCCACAAGGGAGAGTGTTCCAAAAAGGATGAGAGGCTGCCAGCTCTTCAGGCAAGGGGTGAGAAGACTAGGCTCCTGAGTCCCACAGAGGAGCCGCAGAAAGGATGCCGTCGCTCAGGACTGAAAAAGGTCCAAAACTTTTGCCGCTTCCATTGTTCTGCCTCATGCCAGAGGGCAAAGACCATTTGAGGAGGGCTTCCATAGATGCTCGAGGGTGCGTCTAGATCTGCGTAGGAGCAGGCGGTTTTTCAGATACAGTGGTACCTTGGGCTAAGAACGGAATTCGTTCCAGAGGTCCGTTCTTAACCTGAAACTGTTCTTAACCTGAGGTACCACTTTAGCTATTGGGGCCTCCCGCTGCCGCCACGCAATTTCTGTTCTCATCCTGAAGCAAAGTTCTTAACCCGAGGTACTATTTCTGGGTTAGAGGAGTCTGTAACCTGAAGCGTCTGTAACCCCAGGTACAGAGGTATCTGAAGGCGTCTGTCCTCCGATCGTGCCCCACTTCATCCTTTGGTGGGCTGTTCTGCACCTGACTGTCTTGAAATGTGTAGCTGAACTAGCTGACAGCGCGGAGTCTGCGAAGGAAGCCTGTAGGCTGAATAGGGAGCAAAAGGTTTGCCCAGGCAGCATCCGTTATCAAAGACGCCATTTCAGGAGGGCTTCGGCGGGGGCCGGGGGGGGGGGAATAGCACTTCCGCAGCCCCCCAACCTCATGTTAGACCACCATGTGATGTTTCCGCAGGGCCACGTGTCTTCTCAGCTGGCTGGCTGATTCCATACACTGAGTGCCTGTTGTTATAAACAGTGAAACGGGCCTCTTTCGAGTCGCTAGGCGTGCCAAAGGCATAAATCCTGAGAGAGAGAGAGAGAGAGAGAGAGAGAGAGAGAGAGAGAGAGAGAGGCATAAATCCTTCACGGGGGGGGGGGGGGGCTACGTGATCTGCATTGGTAACATTGCTGGGGTTGTAATGAGATTTTGAAAAGCAACCCAAAGTAGCGGTTCCTTTGGAGAAGGACTGCAAAAAGGTTTTCTGTCCGATAGCTGGCTTTTCCGGTAGGAAAAGGACCTCAGCAGCAGAGAGGAGCAGCTCCCCGGCTCCTTGTATTGCAGGCGGTATTCAATCTCCTATTGGTGAATTCAGGCCACGCAATTAAAGTGGATTTGGCGCTCTCGTGCAACAAACCCACTCCCCTCCTCCCCGAAGGAAATCTGACTTTTTTGCTGCAAAGGAAGAGGTGGGGAAAGGCAGCCAAACTGTGGCATATCCGTTTTATTGACTTACGGTAGCTTTATTTAAGCGGACATTTCCCCGAGGGGTTTAGTAGTCAATCCCTTTTCCCAGGGAACTCTGGGAATTGTTAGGTCTCCGAGGTGAACAGTGTGTGCGTGGGGGGGGGGGGAAAGTACCCTAACAACTCTCAGCCCCCTTTAACAAACTACCCTTCCCAGGATGCTTTGGGGAAAACTGTGTCTGTTTGAAGTGGTGCGATGCTGTTTTCAATGTATAGTGCAGATGGGGACGAATGCTTATCGCTCGCCTAGAGGGAAAGAAGCAAAGGCGTGCGTCGTGCATAGAAAGAAATCTCTGAAGGTGAGCGGTGGAAATGCAGCCTACACCCAGTGGCGTAGCATGGGTTGTCAGCACCCGGGGCAAGGCAAGTAATTTGCGCCCCCTAACCCGTGGATTTTGCGCCCCCTAACCCGTGGAGCACGCCCCTCCGATGTTGCGCCCGTTGCGGCCGGGCCCCCCTGCACCCCCCACGCTACACCACTGCCTACACCTGTTGCTCCGCCCACTTGTTAACTCTGGCCCCGCCCACTACTCGCATGTGGCCTGTGGAAGGTTCCGGAAGGGGGCCATCAGACCGATAAAAAATTTGCACCCCTGCTTTAAAGAGTTGCTGAGGATTTGGAGACCCTTTGCCTTTTAGCTTAATCCGTTCGGAATCCAGAAATTTCGGGCGCTTGGTCAAATGCCCTGGGTTCATCTAGGGGCAGGGGTGGAAGGGGGACGGAGAATTAACCTGCCTCGCTCTTCTGCATTTGTTCCGGGGGCCGCAATTCTCCCGTTACGGGGTGCCTGCGGCCCCAACATGATTTGGCTGAGCCAGAGGCTGCTGTTGTTGACGCTCGCTTTCGCTGACGTCTTGCCTGCCTCGCCCCGGAGGCTCGGAGCCAAGTCAATTAGGCCTGCTAATCCCAAATCCCTGGAGCTTTGGATCACAAGAGCAAGCAGTCATTGAATCTGGCACACAAGCTCTGTGAAGCTGAAGGCCCTCATTTCCAACCTGCCGAAGCTCCTCTATCCAGCTTCAAGGGGTAACGGGATTAAAGGGGCTATTCTTAACCATCGTCTTTCGGCCCTGAGTTCGATTTCTGAAACTTACACACTCTGCGGTTTCCTCTGATGTCAGGCAGCTTACCTGGACCCCATCAGAACCAGGCTGAGCTACACCCACATCTAGTTAGTTTCAGCCTTTGACGCCTCAGGGAGCGCTTCTTTTTCCTGCCAAGGAACCGCCTTCAAAATGCTCCAGGGTCTTCTGAGACATGGGCACCTCCCGGCAGCCTGTTTATTCAGCATCCATCATAATTTACTTGTGCAGTGGTTACACTACGTAAATCCCTGTGTATACTGTTTTAGACCAGAGTATTTAAAAGACTGGATGCGGGTGGCGCTGTGGGTTAAACCACAGAGCCTAGGGCTTGCCGATCAGAAGGTCGGCGGTTCGAATCCCCGCGACGGGGTGAGCTCCTGTTGCTCGGTCCCTGCTCCTGCCAACCTAGCAGTTCGAAAGCATGTCAAAGTGCAAGTAGATAAATAGGTACCGCTCCTGTGGGTAGGTAAGTGGCGTTTCTGTGTGCTGCTCAGGATTCCTGCATTGCAGGGGTTGGACTAGATGACCCTTGGTTACCTTCCAGCTCTTAAAATTCTATGATTCTATTATTCAAGGGCCTTCTTGATAGAAACATTCTGGGTGGCTTCAAGAGGATGGCTGAACACTTACTTGTTACTTCTGAGTTATTTACTTCTTCCTACCTATTTGCCGGTGAACACGCATAGGATTTCACTTTTAAAATTTTAACAGAAACAAGCTAACTTAAAAAGGGAGCAGGCTGTTTTTCAAGCAGAGCCTTCACCATTACGAAGAAAACTCTGAGGAAATGGGAGTTTCCAAGGAAGCCTGAGGTTCTTGCCACCGTTTGAAAAGCACTGTCCTCCTCAATTTCTGCCTTTCCAGCCTCTTCTAAGCCCGGATGTTAAATTAATGTTAATCACATGAAGAAGGCTGCTCATTAGTGGGGTGGAAAACTTTAAAAGGGACCCTCTGCCTAGCCCAGTCAGGCAGTGCAAGAGCCAGAGGGACAGGATAAGGCAAAAGATGAAGGTTGTGTTTTTGGTTAGCTGTGCAACCCTCCTTCTCCTTCCATCAGGTAAGTGGAAGTTAACTGGCAGGCCTCACCCAATCCTATACCCTCTTACTTCTGAGTAGCAGTAGGGGAGGAATTCGACTCCGTTCACATTTAAAGGTGGCTCCACCTTAATCCACACTTCCCAAAACAATTTGTAAACCAAATCAAAGCCACCCTTCAAAATTTGGGCCTTTCTGAATTTTGCAATGCACTTTGCCAGCACAGTAATATGTTCAAAAATGCACATTATCCGGGGGGATGAGGTGGGGGGATTTGCTTTTAAATGCATATATTTGTGAAAATAGCATGCAAAGATGCATCACGTTAGGAAAAGGGACCCGTGAAAATGTGTACGTTGGGCAAAAAAAAGCATACACGTATGCCTACATTAGGATAAATTTGTTCTAAGATGCTGATGGATTTTCATGGAAATCACAAAGCGACATTGAGACCTGGGGAACTTAAAGCCTGGAAGGATGAGAAATGGGGGATAAACCGAAAAGGAGAGGTTTGCCCTTCCCTGATTCCCAGCAAACAAGTGTGGGATTGTACTGTGAGCAACTAATTTGCGGCAGAGGGCCAGGTACACCCTGGGATTTTAGGATAGCTGAATGCAAATATAAAGAAAATACTTGGGAATGCATTCCTGCCAACATACGGATGGATTGATGTTTCAGGCTGACTTGAGTTGAAAAAGAATTATTCTCTTTACGCTTGGCTAGCTGATAACTTTTGTGATGGTTCCCTGATTGCTTCACTGAATGTTCATGTGTTGTGGGTTGTATATAATTTCTGTTGTCTACTGGTTTCGCTCTTAGGTTTGCTGTAACCCAGTGTATAAGTGTACGTGCACAAGTTTTTATTGATTCTTTGCCTGGTTTGTTTGTTTTTTTAAAATATGGAAAGTCTTGATAAACTGTTCACTAAAAAAAAAGTTTTATTTTATTTTATACTGGTTCAGCTCCCATGGCTGAACCGTTAGCAGGAGCCTGACAGGCAGAAATGTACAGTGGTACCTCAGGTTACATACGCTTCAGGTTACATATGCTTCAGGTTACAGACTCCACTAACCCAGAAATAGTGCTTCAGGTTAAGAACTTTGCTTCAGGATGAGAACAGAAATCGTGCTCCAGTGGTGTGGCAGCAGCAGGAGGCCCCATTAGCTAAAGTGGTGCTTCAGGTTAAGAACAGTTTCCGGTTAAGAACGGACCTCCGGAACGTATTAAGTATTTAACCTGAGGTACCACTGTAGTCAGTAAAGTTTTCCCAGGCATGAAGCTAAAGGGATGGGATAAGTTTAAAGGAGCAGAGCTGGAACAGAGTGGAAAATTGGGAAGCCTAGCAGAGATATATATGTGGGGATGAAGAATGCCTGATCAGCATTTGGGATCACGGAGGGCTGTGCTTGAAACTGTGGACCTCCTCAGCCATAAGGCAAAAACAGTGCAAAAATAACAACTGTTTGTACACGATGCCGTCAACATACAGGGGCTTTATGTTCTAAGAAAGCGGGCAGATCCCTGCCCCAAGGAGCTTACAATCAAGTTGGCACAAGGGAGGCCATAACAGAAGGAAAGGGGCAGAGCCATAGCTCAGAGAATGAAATTCTGCCTTTCATGCAGAAGGCCAAACCCTCCAAGTGTCCCGATTTTCTAGGGACAGCCCTGGATTTACAGAAGCCACCCTGGTTTCTGATTTTATCCTGGAATGTCCCGCTTTTCCTTAGGACGGCCTGATTCATCAGAGAAATGTTGGAGGATATGGAGTTATGTGACCCGCTGAGCCAAGGAAAGAAGTACAGTGGTACCTCAGGTTACATGCGCTTCAGGTTACATACACTTCAGGTTACACACTCCGCTAACCCAGAAATAGTACCTCAGGTTAAGAACTTTGCTTCAGGATGAGAACAGAAATTGTGTTCCCATGGCGCGGCAGCAGCAGGAGGCCCCATTAGCTAAAGTGGTGCTTCAGGTTAAGAACAGTTTCAGGTTAAGAACGGACCTCCGGAACGAATTAAGTACTTAACCCGAGGTACCACTGTAATGGAATAGGATGTCCCTATTTTCATCAGGGAATTGTTGGAGAATATGGTAGGTCCCAAGTTCTGTCCTCAAAGGGAGACCAAAGCGTGAAACAGATGAATTGCAATTCATCAAGAAGTTCTGAATGAAAATAATTGGGTGTTTATCCAATGCAGGATGTCTGTTTCCATCGCCACTGCTTTGTGAATGATGATCGCTGCAATTGCGTTTGCGTTTTAATTGCAATTCTCACAGTCTGCTTTCCTGCATTTCCATTTCCTTCCAGCCCCACTCCTACCCATTCTCTCTCTCTCTCTCTTTGCACTCATGTGTATGCAATACATACCTGTCAATTTAGGAATAACATTCCACACAGCTGATGAAGTGGACCCCAATGCACGCCACAATAAATGCGATCGTACTCAAGATGCCACTAGATAATTGGGCAGCTCCCTCAGCAATGCACTGCAGGGCCAAGGGGGCCTTGGCCCGGGATTGTTTGCCTGAGAATTTAAGGGTGTCTCCTATACATGTATAAGGGACACGGGTGGCGCTGTGGGTTAAACCACAGAGCCTAGGACTTGCCGATCAGAAGGTCGGCGGTTCGAATCCCCGCAAAGGGGTGAGCTCCCATTGCTCAGGTCCCTGCTCCTGCCAACCTAGCAGTTCAAAAGCACCTCAAAATGCAAGTAGATAAATAGGTACTGCTCTGGCGGGAAGGTAAACAGCGTTTCCGTGCACCGCTCTGGTTCGCCAGAAGCAGCTTAGTCATGCTGGCCACATGCTGTACACTGGCTCCCTCAGCCAATAAAGCGAGATGAGCGCCGCAACCCCAGAGTCGGCCACTACAGGACCTAATGGTCAGGGGTCCCTTTACCTTTACCTATACCCGTTCTCTTGTTTGCCTATAAAATGTGAGCTGGGGGTATAGGATTTCAGTTGATGCACTTTCTCCCAGTGCTGCAGCATCATTCCGATGGGAAAAGCAGCACAGTCTTAACTTTTCTTTCTTACATGCAACTATTCAAGGCGCTGACCTATAATCTGCCAATCCTCTGCATGGAAAAGGAAAAGTCACATGCAGAATTAAGAGGGGGAAGGACTTTGGGAGAAGGAAGAAAGGCTTTGGGGTCCCTACCCAGGACACCCCAAAGTTGAAGGCTGCTGGGCTGTGATCCTTCTGCAATAAGGCTCTTTTCATTGAGTTATCGAAGTAAGATGTTCCGGAATAAAGCAACAGCTGTTCAGCATAATAAGGGAGTTCCTTTACAGCGAGAAGCATCTGGCAGAGCTGGAAGGAGGTCTGCTTGCCCACGGGGAAATAATCATATCCTGAGATTAATGGGATTTGGAGGAATATGTTTCCCCCTTGTGGAAGTAAGGAGGACTAACAGCAGCTGTGTTGTGGTAACCCGATTATTGCTGTCATGAATAGTCGAACTATGCGCGAGTTGCATGCATTTAATTGAATCATCAAAAACTGTGCCATGTGGGTCAATATCCAAACCCAATATTTTATTCAAGTTGGCACCCCTGAAAAAGTGGGTTCTTATAGATATCTCTATTAAATTTTCTGTTTTACAATTTAGAATACTCACTTAAACATCGTTAAAATATCAATGACTTCCCTTCCTCTCTTTCCATGGTTCATTTTGCATATCATAAATCTCTGCATATGTTACAAAAACGAAACCATTCAGTATTCTATCATTGCATCCATCAAAACTTATTTACCTTATTGGTTTTATCTTAATGCTGCCAACATTTTCAGGTGTACACAATCCCCCCCCCCTATATTCAATAAACATTTTCCAATCTTCTCTAAACGTATGTTCTTCTTGTTCTCTAATTCTTTATGTTAAGTCTGCAAGCTGCTCATATTCCGTCAGCTTAAGTTGCCACTCTTTAGTTGGGAACCTCACTCGTTTTCCATTTTGGGACTTCTTGTGTGGAATCTCAGAACGCATGCGCGCCTGATTCATTCATACGCCATGTTGCCGAAATGATGTTTGATCTCTCCGTCTCAACAGGTGGTGTGCAAGAATATAACCTTACGCTAACTTTTGCCTGGCTGAGACGGATGAGAGCTGTAGTCCAAAATACATGGAAGCTCAAACTCATGACCCTGACATTAAGAGGCTCATGCTCAACCGACTGAGCTATCCCTGTTTCATTGAATTGTGAAATTGCTTTGTGATACAGTGGTACCTTGGGTTAAGAACTTAATTCGTTCTGGAGGTCCGTTCTTAACCTGAAACTGTTCTTAACCTGAGGTAGTAATGGGGCCTCCCGCTGCCGCCACACAATTTCTGTTCTCTTCCTGAGGTAAAATTCTTAACCCAAGGTACTATTTCTGGGTTAGCGGAGTCTGTAACCTGAAGCGTCTGTAACACGAGGTACCACTGTACTTCATAAGAAGCAGTTCATAAATGAAATAAGTTTTTTAGTATTATTGGCTACCATTTTTTCTACGCCTGGAATATTTGGCCTCTGGATACTGTTGGACTCCAATTCCCATCAGCCCCAGGCAGCTTGGGCAATGGGCAGGAGTGACAGGAGTTGTAGTCCAACAGCTACAGGAGGCAAGAAGTTCCCCATCCCTGGTCCGCACCACTGTGCCAACTAAGAGCTATGATGTTCAGCACTTTGTGCCTTAAGGCCACCTTTGTTCTTTGCCTTCAGGATCCGCCTTGCGGTGCTACACCTGCCTGTTCCCTACCATCTCCCCGCTGGACTGCCTGAAGTTCCCCACACCGTGCGGCCCGTCTCAGAGATGCCTCACGTCCGTCATCAGAGGGCACAGAGGTTCTGCTGCCAGATTTCTAGTGATCGCTTTTGCCAATAGTTTTGACGTTTTGATCCTGCTTTTGTCAAGGCCAGAGGAAGAAAGCCTGGGAACGCGGGAGGAAGAGAGGAGGGAATGTTTTCAGAGACGGACAGGGAGCAGCCCTGAACTTCTGAAGCTACCACTCCCTCTAGTAGCAAACTCAAAATATTTAGTGCTAATAGAAATGGGGGACAAAAACAGGCCCAGTAAGAAACAAAGGGGAAAGCACCAACATGCTCTGGGGGAATCTGGACTTCATTTTGCTTTATTATTTCTTAGATTTATGTACCTTTGTAGGAAGTGGTTGTCCACTGGGCTTGTCCATTACGCTCAAGATCCAGAACGCCTTGGTACTGGGACGTTTTGGCTCCTGAATGCCGCAAACCCGGGAGTGTTCCGGTTTGCAAACGTTCTTTGGAACCCAAACGTCCAACGGGGCTTCCGCGGCTTCTGATTGGCTGCAGGAGCTTCCTGCAGCCAATCAGAAGCCATGCTTTGGTTTTCGAATGTTTTGGAAGTCGGACGGACTTCCAGAACAGATTCTGTTCGACTTCCAAGGTACGACTGTAATGGACTTCTGAGTGTCAGCTGGGAAGAGGAAAAGAGCAGAGTGAATGCTGTCCTTCATCTTCTCCCCTATTCGCTTATAATATTGCAATGGAGAGTGTGGCCGGCTGGCACCCTGAGCTCAGGTTTCAGGGTGAGGCTACGCTGCCACATTTTATTACAGATCCCACTTCTCTTAGGTTCCAAAGCCAGCTTCTCTGTTGTTTACGCTGAAAGCAGATCCAGCCCTTTCTTTTAGTCACAGCATAGAAAGGAGGGTTTTCAGTTTGCCAACTTCAGAAAACATAAAACAAGTCTATCAAACATGACCCAACTTTTCTTGTTTGGGTGTATCTCCCATCAGTGTGGCGGCAAGATTGCTGGGCCAGGGCCTGGGAGTCAAGGGTTCAAATGCCCATTCAGCCAATGAAGCTGGCTGGGGAAACGGGGGTCAGTCGCTCTCTCTCAGCCTCCGCTACCTCACAGGGTTTTTGAGAGGATGAAATGGGAAAGGGGGAGAACTCTGTACACCACCTTTAACTCCCTGCAGGAAAGTTGGGTTATAAATGCAATACTGTTAATATGTAAACAGTGTTTCTGTGCGCTCTGGCTTCCGTCACAGTGTCCCGTTGCGCCAGAAGTGGTTCAGACCTGCTGGCCACATGACCCAGAAAGCTGTCTGTGGACAAACGCTGGCTCCCTCGGCCTGAAAGCAAGATGAGTGCTTCAACCCCATGGTTGCCTTTGACTGGACTTAACTGTCCAGGGCTCCTTTACCTTTTTTTACTGTTAATAACAATTCCTGTTTGCAGTTGGTATACTCCTGCTACTCCAGACAAGGGGAAGCAGCACCCAAAGTTATCATGGGGGAGGGACAGGGGGCAGCTTCCTTTCCCTCACTTTTAATGAGCTGGAAACTTTGCATGCAGAATGTTCCAGGTTCAAATCCCTGGCATCTCCAAGTTAGGGTTGGGAATGTCCCTGTGTGAATCCCTGGAGAGTCGCTGCCAGTCAGTGTAGACAATATTGAGCAAGGTGGACCCAAGGATCTGACTCAGTATAACTCAGCCTCCTGAGATGGCATCTTCCATTCCTCACACAACGTGGCCTAGATCATGGACTGCTTGAAAATTGTGGAGATTCCTGGTGGAACACAGAGTACCGTATTTTTCGCTCTATAGGACGCACCCGACCATAGGATGCACCTTGTTTTAGAGGGGGAGAAGAAAAAAAGATTCTCCCCCTCTCTGCTCAGCGCCCCTTCAGTGAAGCGGCAGGAGAAACGAAGCCCCTTCCATTTCTCCTCCCGCTTGGCTGAAGGGGCGCTGTGCAGCTCTCCCTCTCTGCTGAAACCAGGAGAGTCTTGCTCTCCCGGCTTCAGCAAAAGGAACCCGAAGCCTTTGGAGCGCAGTCTGGAGAGCGAGAGGGATTGGTGCGCACCGACCCCTCTCGCTCTCCAGGCTTCAGCGAAAGCAACGCGTAGCCTCCGGAGTGTGGAGGGAGCGCTCCCTCTGCGCTTCAGAGGCTTCACGTAGCTATCGCTGAAGCCAAGGAGCCTGCATTCGCTCACACATTTTCCTTTAATCTTTGCAGGGGGGAAAGTGCGTCCTATAGAGCAAATAATAAGGTAATTTTCCTGCAATTGTAATGTACTGGAGGGTTTCGAATCGTAATTTTAGAGACTCCCCATAGAGCGACGGACCGAAGCTCACAGGCCACAGTTGGGAAACACCTGATTTCAGACGTTCACTTTCCAAGTCTATGAAAAGGAAGAAATGGGTGCATGTGGGATTCCCCCTGATCTTCTATTCACCCTCATCCCTGATCTCTTTTCCTTAGGTGCCCTGGAACTGGTTATCTATGAGAAGACCTGTGGGGATTCTTCGATGTGTGGGGCCCATGGCACCCGATCCATGCTGGGAACCAATTTCACCTTTTATTCTTCTTGCTGCGACACTGACCTGTGCAACTCAGCTGCCAGGGGGCCGAGCCTTTTCTGGGGGCAAGCCGCACTGATCCCCCTGTCAATCATCCTGGTCAACCTCCAATGAGAGCCAGCCCCCAAAGCAGTCATGCCCCAGGGTGTGAGACGACTCAGGACCAGTCACCTCATACCGCTGCTTTCTCTCGGCCTCCAATAACCAAAATGCTCTGGAAGAAGTCTAAATAACACCTTTCCTGGTTTCACGTCGCTTTTCTCATCTCTTTCTTTGGGTTATCTTCTTAACTGCAATTTGTGCACGGAAATTTATTTTAAACCCCACCTCCCCACAATGTATCCAGCTATCTGATACCGCAGTTGGCTTTGCATTAGAAAGAAGGGGGGGGATTGGTAGCATGGTAGAAACAGAGGGACACAAGCCTCTCCTCTTTCTTTGCCTTTTCTATGCTTTCAAAATTCAGAGTGTAAGCTGCTTGGGGCAGAGCCCTGTTTGTTTGTTGAAGCCTTCCTTACCACATTATTTGGATTATAATTCCCATGGGAGTTGAATGATAGAATTGTAGAATCCAACCCCCTACGAGGGAAGAATCTCAACTAAAGCATCCAAACCGCTTTGATGTTGTCGTCCCCTTACAATCAAGTGGTGTATAAGCTTTATGGAATAAATAAAATGAATGAAAATAAATGAAATGAAATGAGTACGTCTAGCTACATCTGGAGGGCAGAAGACTGGGAAAAGGATGCACTGCGTACCACGGGTACGTAACAGCAACAACCACCTTGAACTGTGGAATTTCCAACAAGATTTGGGAGACGGTGACCTGGTTTCCTACCCCCACCAATTAGCAAGGGGAAGGAATCCTTCAGAAAGTGAGCTAAACCTTTAAAAAAAAAACCACTGGAAGTTTTCGAGGGCACTTTGTTAAGGATTATTTAGTTATAGAATGCCCTGACTAAAAAGTGGGGTTTGCTGTTTTAATGTTATTTTAGGCATCATCTAGCTAGGGGGCAGGGACGCGGGTGGCACTGTGGGTTAAACCACAGAGCCTAGGATTTGCAGATCAGAAGGTCGGCGGTTTGAATCCCCGCTACGGGGTGAGCTCCCGTTGTTCGGTCCCTGCTCCTGCCAACCTAGCGGTTCAAAAGCACACCACTGCAAGTAGATAAATAGGTGCCGTTCTGGCGGGAAGGTAAACGGCATTTCCGTGCGCTGCTCTGGTTCGCCAGAAGCGGCTTAGTCATGCTGGCCACATGACCCAGAAACTGTACGCCGGCTTCCTCGGCCAATAAAGCGAGATGAGCGCCGCAACCCCAGAGTCGGCCACGACTGGACCTAATGGTCAGGGGTCCCTTTACCTTTAGCTAGGGGGCATTATTCCCAATGCCACACAGCACGTGGCTTCAAACAGCCAAGGAAAGGTTGGCGCAAGAGAATGACAAAAGTGACTCCTAAAGGCAAACTCAAGGAGCCCCTGTTTCATCATGTCCCCTGTGGGGGGTGTCGCCTAACAACTCTCACCACCCCTAAAAAGCAACAGCTCCCAGGATTCTTTGGGAGAAGCCGCGACTGTTTAAAGTGGTACAATCCTGGTTTAAATGTGTAGTGCAGCCCAGTTGAGCATCTAACACTAATAATCATGTGGCAGTTAGTGGCTGGTGTTACACTGATAAAATCTGAGATACCGCTGATGTTTCTAGTCAGCTGACCAGAAGCAGCCAACCAGAGTTCTTTCAGCCACCAGCAGCAGGACCAATCGGTGGGGTCCCTCAAAACTCATGGAAGGACCCCAGCATTCTAACCCCCAGTCAGTCTCCTTAATTAGCCAATCAGAACATTTCACCGCCGCTCCTCAAATATTTAATAAGATTCCTATGGTATCACCCTCAAATCTCTCCATTTTGCATAACTACCCAATTAAGATTCCTCAATGCTACAGAAGCAGCCAAATATTTCAGTAGCCATTCATTGGTTCCCCACTATTTTTAGGACTGAGGAGGCAGGAAAAGCACTCGGGTTTAATATTTTTACAAATGTGTATTTTTATTTTATTCTTGTTCTTACTGAAATTCAAATCACGCCCCCCCCAGAAAATAAGTCATTCTCCCTCCTTCCTCCCCCCCCGCCAAACGTAAGTACATACATAAAAATACCCTTCAACGGGCCCAACCCGAGACCCCAATATCCCTGCCACAGAAACCCTACGTCCCTTTTTCCAACTCTCAGAAGTTTGTTATTTCAAAGCTTTGGCAACCAGCTCATAAGCTAGCTCAATCTCTTCGTCGTCTGGGCAGGTGCTGGCAAACTCCTCACGGGCGTAAGCATTCTTGAGATAGCGGTGGATGCCTTGGAATGCCTCAGGGATGGTAAAGTTGCGGTACTTCTTGCACACCACCTGTTGAGACAGAGAGATCAAACATCATTTCGGCAACATGGCGTATGAATCAGGCGCGCATGCGTTCTGAGATTCCACAAAAGGAGGAATTTGGTAATAGGTGCAGAACTTAGAAGACAGTAAAATCAAAGCATTCTGCCTGCTTGCGGACGTCCGCCTGCTTTTGTGATTCAAAACAGGACAGATTAACATCTCACACAATACAGTGGGACCTCGGGTTACATACACTTCAGGTTACAGACTCCGTTAACCCAGAAATTGTACCTCGGGTTAAGAACTTTGCTTCAGGATGAGAACAGAAATCGTGCTCCAACGGCACAGTAGCAGGAGGAGGCCCCATTAGCTAAAGTGGTGCTTCAGGTTAAGAACAGTTTCAGGTTAAGAACGGACCTCTGGAACAAATTAAGTACTTAACCCGAGGTACCACTGTACCCCTGTCCAAGCATTCTTGTTGCCGTGTTTATTAACATAGAAGGGACACAGCCAATGAGATTGACTGCACTCCACATTTAAACCTGTATCATACCACTGTAAAAAGTCATGTCTTCACCCCAAGGAATCCTGGGAACTGCTGTTTGTTAAGGGTGCCGACAGTCATAATAATATATAATAATAATTTATTATTTATACCCCGCCCATCTGGCTGGGCTTCCCCAGCCACTCTGGGCGGCTTCCAACAAAATATTAAAATGCCATAATACATCAAACATTAAAAGCTTCCCTAAACAGGGCTGCCTTCAGATGTCTTCTAAAAGTCTGGTAGTTGTTGTTCTCTTTGACATCTGGTGGGAGGGCGTTCCACAGGGCTGGTGCCACTACCGAGAAGGCCCTCTGCCTGGTTCCCTGTAACTTGGCTTCTCGTAGCGAGGGAACCGCCAGAAGGCCCTCAGCGCTGGACCTCAGTGTCCGGGGAGAACGATGGGGGTGGAGACGCTCCTTCAGGTATACTGGACCGAGTCATGAAACAATCCCTGTTCCCCTCACAGAGCTACAGTTCCCAGAGCAGTTTTTTGCCATCAATGCCTCTGGGAACTGTAGCTCTGCTAAGGTAATAAGGGTCTGTCTACAACACTTAGCAACCATAACAAACTGCTTTGAATGTGTAGTGCAGCTGGGGCCATTGTGGATGAAGACAATTTTTCTTTTCCCACTGTAGCTCGATTTCAAGAAAGACTAATGATTCAATTAAGCTCAAACCTCACCCAACAGCTTTCCACGCTTATATTTTGATAAGTTACCATATTTTCACTCTATAAGACACACTTTTCCCTCCTAAAAAGTAAGGGGAAATGTGTGTGTGCGTCTTATGGAGCGAATGCGCAGCTGCGCAGCTATCGCACAGCAATCCCTCTTGCTGTTCTGGCTTCAGGGATAGCCGCGTGAAGCCTCTTCAACAACATTTGATTCAAAATATATATTTTTAATTGTTTTCCTCCTCTAAAAACTGGGTGTGTCTTATAGAGCGAAAAATACGTTATTTAGATCTTGAAGTAGCCATCTACCCAGGTACTTAACAGGAGAATCTTTCCACAGAGATGCCTATCTTTTTGCCCTTTTGTCCTTAGAAGAATGATTTAAATTAAAACCCAATCCCACGCGAGATCTGGCCAGGTTAACTTTATTACCTGAGTCTTGGGGAGTCTAAAGTTCCAATTTAACTTGCTCCGCTGGAGAAAGCCCTCTTAACTCCCAGATGACATCCAACCTGCCTTAGGGGAGTAGGGGGTGGAGTGGGGCTGGAGGAGGAGCAAAAGAAGAGGTTTTCACCTTGACGATGTGAAGCTTGGGCAGAAGATTGCAGTCGGCCAACGTGAGCTCATCCCCATCGAGGAATTTGCGGCGGGACTGACCCTCGTCCTCGGCACTATTCTCGTCCACCTCCTCCGGTAGCGGCGTTGTCAAATAAACATCCAGCACCTTCAACGCTTTCAGCAAACCTTTCTCGAGATCTAAGAAATACGGGGGGCGGGCAGGGGGAGAGGGGGAGGAATGAATGGAACCATTGAAAAGCCAAGGAGTGACGAGGGGAAACATCAGGAAGGGTTCAAGTAGCATCTAAGCTGGAAAGGGAGCCATTGGGATTTGAGGCAAGAGGGAGAGGCAGAGGGAGCCAATGGCACCCAAGAAAAAGAGAATGACAGAGCCAATGAGATTAAGGAATTAAGGCACCATCTGCATTTCATGATCCCCCCCAAGGAATTATGGGAGGTGTAGTTTGTTAAGGGTGCCTAGAGCCACCCTATTCCCCTCACAGGTCTACAATTCCCAGAGTGGTTTAACGATTGACCCCTCTTTTCAAGGAACTTTGGGAATCATAGCACTGAAGGAGAAAAAGGGTCTCAGCACCTTTTTCTTTGGAAGAGGGAGGTGGGAAGTCGTTGAATGTATGGGTATAATACAGGGTGGATTTGATTTAAATCAAATCGATTTAAATCACAAGTAAAATCACTAGATAGTAAGACTTGATTTAAACTTTTTTTTTTTACAGAAAGACATTTTTGCTGGTATAATCTTAATATTTACAACCAAATGAAGGTTTCATTTTTGGAATAATAAATTTTCAGAGTAGTTTTTACAGTTATATCAAAAAATACTGATTTGGTTATACTATGGAAATGCATAGACAGGTCATTATGAAATTATTGCGAGGTTTAATAAGTTAACTGTTTATATTTGGACAACTTTTCTGCTGTGCTTTATTGGTAGGGGGAAAATAATCATTTCCATAATAACAATTTAAACAATTTATTTAACTTAAACAATAACATTATAGCATATGTATCCATGTTTGTTAACTGATGTGGTTAAACAATTAAAAAACAACAACTTAAGACTGAGTTTTAGCACACATGATAAACTTAAAACAAATCCTTATTTCCTGATGAATAGGCTTTGGACTATAATGTAACTTAAATAGAAAACTATCTATAGAATTTTTTTCCTCCAAAAGCATTTTATTTTTAAAAAATCCAATTTAATTTAAAAAAATCAATTAAAAAATAATAATCCAATTTTATTTTATTTTATTTATTTATTTTAATCACTGCTTTTTATCCACCCTGGTATAATGAAAGATGCTAATATGAATCATAGAATCATAGAATCATAGAGTTGGAAGAGACCACAAGGGCCATCGAGTCCAACCCCCTGCCAAGCAGGAAACACCATCAGAGCACTCCTGACATATGGTTGTCAAGCCTCTGCTTAAAGACCTCCAAAGTAGGAGACTCCACCACACTCCTTGGCAGCAAATTCCACTGTCGAACAGCTCTTACTGTCAGGAAGTTCTTCCTAATGTTTAGGTGGAATCTTCTTTCTTGTAGTTTGGATCCATTGCTCCGTGTCCGCTTCTCTGGAGCAGCAGAAAACAACCTTTCTCCCTCCTCTATGTGACATCCTTTTATATATTTGAACATGGCTATCATATCACCCCTTAACCTCCTCTTCTCCAGGCTAAACATGCCCAGCTCCCTTAGCCGTTCCTCATAAGGCATCGTTTCCAGGCCTTTGGCCATTTTGGTTGCCCTCCTCTGGACACGTTCCAGTTTGTCAGTGTCCTTCTTGAACTGTGGTGCCCAGAACTGGACACAGTACTCCAGGTGAGGTCTGACCAGAGCAGAATACAGTGGCACTATTACTCCCTTGATCTAGATGCTATACTCCTATTGATGCAGCCAGAATTGCATTGGCTTTTTTAGCTGCCGCATCACACTGTTGGCTCATGTCAAGTTTGTGGTCAACCAAGACTCCTAGATCCTTTTCACATGTACATGGAAATGTAAAACCTGGAAACTTTAATAAAAATTATTAAAATTAGGGGAGGGGGGGTCTCAGCACCCTTAAAAAGCTATGGCTCCCAAGATTCAGATGCAATAACCTAGATGAATCCCGCCCAATTAATCAAAGATGCAAGGAAGCAGCCACTGAAGCCCATGGAGGAAAGAAGCCAGTGACAACGAAAGAATATCCCAGTCAGTTCACTGAGAGGCCTGGGAAAGAAGGGGCCGATAGAATTGAAAAAATAACAAACTGAGAATCAAACACCTGAGAAGAGGCCGCCCAGTGAAGATTTGGGGGCCAAGATACTCACTGGAGTTCTGCCCCGGGTTCGAGTTCTTGATATAGGCAGAGAACTTGGCAAAGACGTCAAGGCCAGCTGTGTTGGACTCGGGGTTACGGGCAGCCAACTTGGGGTACCTGTGGGAGAGAAGGCAGATTTATCATCAACCGTGAAGTGGCCTCGCTTAGTGGCGTCACCCGCAACTCCTCCTAGAGAGCCAGCAACCCCCTTTCCCTAACCAGCTCCCCTAGATCCACAAAAATTATTGAAAAGCATTGAAAGTGCTCAATAAACGGAGGTTCTGCCCCCTGCCCCCCAGCAGAAGCCTGCCCCCTTGAGGGGGTGATCTCCTAAAAAATGCTCATAATAATAATACTAATAATAGTTTATTTCTACCCTGCCCATCTGGCTGGGTTTCCAACAAAAGATTAAAAATACATTAATACATCAGTCATTAAAAATGTCCCTAAACAGGGCTGCCTTCGGATGCCTTCTAAAAGTCAGATAGCTGTTTATTTCCTTGACATCCAACAGGAGGGTGCCACTACTGAGAAGGCCCTCTGCCTGGTTCCCTGAAACCTTGTCACAGTGAGGGAACCACCAGAAGGCCCTCAGAGCTGGACCTCAGTGTCCGGGCTGGACGATGGGCGTGGAGATGCTCCTTCTGGTATACAATAATAATCCTTAGTATCCCCACAATCAGCTCAATTGCCTCAAATAATTCTTACTTGGGAGGGCAAAGGACCTCCTCAAGGAACTCTTCAATCTTGTTAGTGTCTGTATGAACCTCAGTCCCGTACATCAGGAACGGGAGCTGACCTCCAGGGCATAGTTTCTGCACCGTCTCGGTCCTCCTACAAGGAAGAGAAGAAGAACATATTAAGAGTGCTTGTAACTGCAAGAAGGACCCTGGAGCGAAGATAAGCGATGCTGACCGGACAGGGAGATGCACGTGCGAGTCCGTAGCAAAAGGGAGGACGCCCTAGGGTGTCCCTGCGGCAATTTCTACCCACCTCTTGGTGTCCACCGTGGTGACGTTGAAGGTCACGCCCTTGAGCCAAAGGACCATGAAGAGTCGCTGGGAGAAGGGGCAGTTCCCGATTTTGGCTCCATCGCTGCCGGCCTGAGGAAATGAAACCAAAACATTGAGATCTAAGCCTCAATCTAACTCTGCCATTCTATAATTCAATGACTAGACCCGCCTTTAGCCTAATCCTGCTCGTCTTATGTACATCATCATCATCATCATCATCGTTAAGTTGTGGGTGTACATATCAGACGACACAGCGATTCTTCAAACAGCTCTTCTTTATTCACAGGACAGAACTGAACTGAAGGGTTCAGCCAGCCTGCTTATATAGAGCTCCACTAGAACACAACAGTAACCATTTCTGTAACTATCCAATCACTGAACGTCACTTTCAATCCCTTATTTGCATATGTGGACCTGAGTGAAAACTATCTACAGTATCCCCCTGCTGGCCCAGGGTGAGAACTTCAGTACATAACAATCATCATCATTTATACCCCGCCCATCTGGCTGGGTTTCCCCAGCCACTCTGCTAGCTAACCCCACAGACTTGGGATGGTACCCGAAACGTAGCTTAAGTAATTCTGGAAACGTAGCTAAAGTAATTCCTGCTGCAAGCCAGTGTTTGATAGACAGATAAAACTTTATTCGCATTAGCCAATGGCCATAGCAACAGTAAAACATTACAGTATACGCAGAAAAGGAAGTTTGATTTAAGAGCACAATGTAAAGTCCTGAATCAGCCGTCAGTTAGTGGCCCTTATTCTGATTGCCCCTGCTACGAACCTAGCAACCTTTGCTGTTATCTGATAGGACAATTTTGATCTGATAGGAGAAAGGACATTGTGGCAGTGGTTGAGCGCCCTGGGATGGTTAGTACGAGTGGGGTGTTTTACAAAAGTCAGAATCACAGCACTTTTTACTAGCGACTTGGCCTTCAGGAAGCCACAAAAGCATGTAGTAAAGGGCTGAGACTGACTTGCAACTTGAGATTCCCAGGTGTCAAAACATGTTATTTATGTATGCCACTACTGCGGGCTGTGTTTTGTCAGGCCAGAAACTGGAAAACGAGCGATGTCCCAACCAAAGAAGAATGGCAACTCAAGCCGACAGAATATGCGCAGCTTGCAGTGTCTTAACATATAGAATAAGAGAACAAGAAGGACATACGCTTAGAGAAGATTGGAAAACGTTTATTGAATGTATGGGAAATAACGGTGTATAGCTGAAAACGCTGGCAGCGTGAAGACAAATTCAACGGCGCAAATAAGTTCTGATGGATGTAATAATGGAATGCTGAATGGTATAGTTTTTGTAAATTAAGCAGGGATTTATGGTATGTAAAATGAGCCATGGAAAGGGGAGAAGGGAAGTCACTGATATCTTAAGGATGTAGAAATGAGTACTTAAAATTGTAAAACTGAAAACTTAATAAAAATGAGAGAGTTTTAACCACTAGAGGGAGACAGTGGCATACGAAAGGTCACAATACCTTCTGCCACAGTGAAATATAGTATTGGGCTCTTTGTACTTACAAAGGTCACAGCCACCCAAACCTTTTTTTAAAAAGAAAAAAGAAAAAAAAAGTCGCCCTGTTCCGAAGTGGCTGTAAATCACAGCGCTGGTGATCAGTTGGCATGCTTTCCGCAGGTTTCGGTCTCCGCTGCAGGCTGGGAGCTACTGCTGAACCTTGATCTCTGTTTAGCTTGCCACACAGGAGTCGCTAACTAAGCAGGTTTATCAACCGGGTTCTATACAAGTTCCTGGGAGGGCTCCGAGCGCAAGCCTGCAGCAGGATTCCTCCTAGTCCAAAATGAGGAAAGACACAGGGGGATCCAAGCGGCCAAACTGCACTGAAGGGGGCGCTGCGCTAAAGGAGGCAGCCTTAATGGCGTTGCTTTTATTATCTTTTACTATACCTGCGTTTGATGATGTACTTTAGATGCAATGTGCTATCCTATAACGAGCTTAAAAAAATATTGAAATATTGTTGTTTAGTCGTGTCCGACTCTTCGTGACCCCATGGACCAGAGCACGCCAGGCACTCCTGTCTTCCACTGCCTCCCGCAGTTTGGTCAAACTCATGCTGGTAGCTTCAAGAACACTGTCCAATCATCTCATCGTCTGTCGTCCCCTTCTCCTTGTGCCCTCCATCTTTCCCAATATTAGGGTCTTTTCCAGGGAGTCTTCTCTTCTCATGAGGTGGCCAAAGTATTGGAGCCTCAGCTTCAGGATCTGTCCTTCCAGTGAGCACTCAGGGCTGATTTCCTTCAGAATGGATAGGTTTGATCTTCTTGCAGTCCATGGGACTCTCAAGAGTCTCCTCCAGCACCATAATTCAAAAGCATCAATTCTTCAGCGATCAGCCTTCTTTATGGTCCAGCTCTCACTTCCATACATCACTACTGGGAAAACCATAGCTTGAACTATACAGGCCTTTGTTCCCAAAAGACCAGAGGCTTTTTTGCTTGGTTTGATGGGAAAGGAAATTAAGATAAAGGACCAAAGATTATTCAGGTATGCCACAGCTGCGGCAAGGACTTCGTTGGCCCCAAACTGGAAATCACAAGAAGTTCCTACCATTGCGGAGTGGCAGTCGGAAATGATAGATGACATGGAACTAGCCAAACTGACGGGAAGTATTTGGGATGGGGACGACCAGAGATTCCAGGATAATTGAAGTAAATTTACTGAGTATTTAAAAGACAGTTGTAAAAACTTAAAAACACTAGTATTTAAAAGACAGTTGTAAAAACTTAAAAACACTAGCAGGACTGAAGTAACTTCTACAAAGTAAAATAAATAAGATGAGAGGATAAAATACGCGAAAGAATGTGACAAGGAATACCAGCTGAAGGGAAGGAGGGAAGTCATGGCTCGGCAGAGCAAAATGGCTTATATGTTGATGTATGTATGAAATGTATGGAAAGAAAGATTATGCAAAGAAAACAATAAAAATTTACTGGGGGGGGGGGAATAGATGCAATGTGCGACCCAGCCAGAATGGCCAAACTTGGGGCAAGCCAGCACCTCTGGAGACAGTGGGCTGCATAGACAGCAGGGATCTCTTATCAACAGTTGCCAAAGGGAAGAAGATCTCTTGCTCTAGTACAGTGTTTCCCAACCGGTGTTCCGCGGCACACTACTGTGCCGTGAGACATCGGCTGGTGTGCCGTGGGAGGGAGGCGGGCGAGAGGCGGCGGCGGCGAGGATCCGGCGGGGGTGGGGGGAGCGGGGGCCGTCGCGCGCAACCGAACTCACTTGGCGCGCTGCCGGCTTGTCCTCCTTCAACCCGGGTCGGGCCAGGCCTGCTCACGTCCCCGGATCCCCTAGCAGCAGCCGCACGCTCTCCAAAAGCGCAACGCTGCGCGCAACCGCTCGGCCAGCTGGTGCTCTGCGACTCCGCCCTTTCCCCTCCCAGCGCCGGAGGGTTCGCGCGACCGCAGCTGTTCCCTTTCGCAGCGCGCGGGAAACAATTCCAGGCCGATTGCCTTGTGCCGAAAAGCACCGCCTCTCCTTCCAGCTCAGGCCCGGGCCGCCGGCTCCCCGAATGACGTCACGGGGGCGGGGCTTTAATGGTGGTGTGCCGCGAGATTTTTTTCCGGTAAACAGGTGTGCCGTTGCCCAAAAACGTTTGGGAAACACTGCTCTAGTAACCCATACAGTCAGGGAGGAGATAAGATGAATCATCTTCCATGGAGGACTACGGCCACCAACCGTTGCCATGGGAACAGATGGGCTTCCCCAAACATCCTCCAGAAAGTTGTCGCCAGCTTAACACGGTGCATTCCTACTTCGACTACTCAGCAATGGTTACCCCTCAGCCGCCGCCAGTCTGGCAGGCACAAGGGACAAGAAGTTGCTATAGAAATGCCCAAACAGAAAGGCGTGTGGAGCCAGACATCAATCAAAATGGCCGCCGGACTTAAGAGCTGCTCCGCAATGTCAATCGGCTGTTTGTTTGGGTTTTTTTGGCAATTCGCTATTCCCGTGCAGACAAAAACAAAACGAAAAACCCACATCTAAAATTCTTTGAAAACCTGACTCAGGTTGCAGAATACATTGTGCTGACGTAACCGTCTCCATTTTTCGACTGTCACTGTGCAAGATATACTCAGGGTAGCAAAAATAAAATAATGTAATATAAAATATAATAAGGCAGCTCCTGCACCTTTCATATTTGTACAGAAGAGGGAACTCCAGTGCAACCTGTCATGCAAGCTAAACAGGGCTTTTGAGCAAGTACTAATAAGTTTGCTTGAACTTAAATAATTAGATTTATATCCTGTCCTTCTTCGCAAAGGAGCCCAAGGTGGCAAACACATCCTTGATAAAACAAAACAATTTTAAAGAAAACAAAAACGTATTCAAAAACCCCAAAAGTATCTAGAAAGATTTTTTTTAAAAAAAAATTAAACCCAATAAATATTTTAAAATTAGATTTAAAAAAAAACAACCCAAAAAACTATTAAATCAGCAACAGGGAACTTGTGGCCCTTTAGGTAGTGTCAGGACTCCAACAGCCATCAGCCCCAGCTAGAACTGCCGATGGCAACAGTGAGGGATGTTGAGAGTTATAGTCCAGCAATATCAGTTTTCCCCATCCCTGTAATTAAAGGTGCGAGAGAGCCCTGTTTCCTTTTGCATCCAGCCAGACTGCCCATTTCCCATGACTCAACAGACCGCAATTTCAACGGGCATCCCAGCTGCATAAGAAGTTCCGATGGCAAGAAGAATCTGGCAGTCCAGAGAAGAAGAAGAAAAACCTTTCTCCTTTTTTTAACTTCCTAAATTTCCAAACAGAAAATTAGTAATTTTAAAAGGCCGCAAGCGCTTTCCCCAGAATACTTTGCATACCATATGTACCATACATTTTAAACCACCTTCCAAGAATCTTGGGAACTGTAGTTTATTGAGACTGCTGGGAAGCATAGCTCCGTGGTGGAGTAAACTACATCTCCCAGGATTCTTTGCAGGGAAGCCATGACTGTGCAAAGTTCTATAAATATATGCAGCCAGCAGCCCCACCAACGTTTCCACCCTAAATGATCCCCAGTGCCTTTTCCTAACCACTTTCTGCCATCGTGATTAAT